CTAAAGATCTTCCAGAAAGCCTTCCCCACTCCTTCTGGGCAGTTCTCTGGTGTAGGAGGACCAGAAAGTTTAGTCTTAAATTAATTTAAACTTAAAAAAATAATAATCACACTGTCAAAAAAGTCAAGCTTTCTCTTCTGGTTTGATGAAGAGCACTTCAGAGGTTTTTTGGTGTGGGAACTGGGAGCTTCTTCAGGGAAAGCAAGAAACCTCAGGTATTGGCATTGAATAGATGCTAAGAAAAATGAACAAACCTATGGAATTAAAAGCATTCTGAGAAAAGTCCCTTTTGAAAGGCCCTTCTTGCTGTTCTGTACTCATTTTTTTTGAGAAAAAAATACAGATAAGGCCTTCAGTATTTAATGAGGAAATGAGAAAAGTTAGCAACCTACAAACACATTTCAGGCTTTGATCAACATAGTGCCCAAGACATCTATTGTGAGCCACCAACTTTGTGAAGTTTAAAATTTCTTTGCTTTCAGACTTTGATGTAAGAGGTAAACCACCATTTTAATATTTTCCCTTAGAATTATGGGTGGCTTCAGAGAAATTAGCAAGTTTCTTGCATTGAAATCACAGGAAATACTTCTCAGCTACAAAAATATGTTGAATGAAGATCAAAATAGTGTTGCAAAAATGAAGAAAGCATCTTTATGGAAAAGTACTAGTGAACCTGCTCATTAAACATATTTGAATTATTATCTGCAAAAGATCACATCAACATGTAATTAGTGGCTCTGGAATAACACCATATGGCCCCACACGTCAGAATTAAGATTAAGGGGGGACATTACCCCAGTACTTCCTGACATCCAAATATCTCCCATGCATGACGAACATCCTTAAGCAGGCTGTGCCAGAGCAGGTTCTGCTGGCTTACTGTCCCACCAGAAGGGAAGCTTTTACTCAGAGACCACATCTGTAAAGTAGCTGGCGAGCATGGGAAACTACTTTCTGAGAGATCTGCTGTGGACAGGCCACTGGTGGGAAGAGTGTTCCCTGGCAAAGCACGGGTGGGCAGAGGTGACTGAGGAGCATTTGTAAGGAAGCTGAACATTTCGGTGTGCTCTTGATAAGGAATCTTCTATCCAGAGGGCACTATTGGGAGTTCCCCGTGGTGCTTTCAAGGCACATCTCCCATGTCTTCATTTCCTCCCCCCGCCCAGATAACATCATCTGGGTTACTAGAAGAGTACTTCAGCTGGTGAGGCTGGGGATATGCCTAACTGGAGCAGCCCACCTCTAATATAGACCCATAGACCCACCTGATTTGGACAACCCCCTCAGTCCTGCTCCAGTGCTCCCACTGGTGGCGTTCCCCTTGAGATGCTCTGTGCAATCCTCTTTATGTTAGGTAGGAGCTAGGAAATACCTGGTACCATTTTTTTTCCTCGGGAGGATGTCTGTGCCTTTCTTCGCCTAAGGGCAGATTACATGTAGGCTCACAGAATACATGTAGGACTAACAGAATTAGCCAAAATTAGCTCCTGTTTGTTGCCTTTGTGACTCAGCTGGGTTACAAGAGGACTGGACAATAAATCCAAACAATATCAGAGCAAAGTAAAGAAACTGTAGATCTTCAGCACAAAGACGTCAACATTCTCTCATGGAGAGTGACCCCTGCTGTGAATACAGTGTGTTGCAGGAGGTCTTTGGAAAGACATTCTACAGCCTTAGAATCATCCTTTGATGTTCAGACCCTCTCACCCACTGAGAAGGAGAAAATGACTTGGATACTTTATCCTCAAACCTGAAGCAAGGCAGACAGAGAAATAACTTTCTTGGTCCTCCTACAGCTACACCACCTACCTACAGTACACCAGGGCCACAGACCAAGGCTCAGCTGTAAACATGGAGCTGCCTTCCCAGGGCAGTCTACCTTCAACCCTTTGGTTTGACTACCCATCACAGCCTTTTGGGGATGCTCCACCACTAGCCACAGGGCTCGGGCTTCACACAGACAGGCTTGTGCTATCCAGTGGCTTACCATTTTTTCCGACAAATCATGCCACTCCTGCAGGCTGATAGGAAGATGACCTGCACCAAAAGAAGGCTTAGGACTCTAAGAGTGGGTCTTCCCCCTGCTATGAGATGGTGACCATCATCATCATCTTGGTAGTCTGTTTCTGCAGCTTCTAAATCAAGGATCAAAGCCAAATATAATACCCCAGAAGGGATGTAGCTCCGCAACACTAGCCACTCAGCAAGGGGCAAGAACAGAGAGAGTGTCATCCCAGTATCACACCTTATCTCCTGCTTTACGCTGGAATCCTCACCTCCCACAGGCTCATGTCTCAGTGATACAGTACTGTTGTGCAAAGTCAGCATCTGACTTAGGCATCACACCTATAGCATGATTACAAAAGAAAAAGCAGTGAAATAATAGTGCTGGTAATTACTAACTGAAGCCATAAAATAGGTTGGAATACTATTCCTTATGATTGTTATGACTGTGGACTACATCAAGTGGGTATGATTCCTATCTATGGTTCTGACACAACCACATGTTTCCTGAAGACAAGAGGTTGTCAGATATCTGATGGCTGGCAACCAGCCAGAAGAAACCGACTCAGCACATCACCTCACAGGCTTACATGACGATTATGTGGATGGTTGCCATGCCAGTGGAAGAGTCTGGCTAACCACCTCAAGGAACTACCTGTGTGCCATCAAACCAGAATGTAAGCTCCAAAAATGAAAGTTTGTACCAGGTTTTGTGTGAGAGACGAGAAAGCAGGCCTGTGAGAAACTAAGACAAACAGCCTGGGAAAGCAAAAGTTGAGGCTTATTGAAGAAATGCCTCAAACACTCACAAGACAAAACCATGAGTCACAGGGTGCTTTCTGTGGAGGCCGAAGCTGATAAGGCTGCCCGATGTAGCTGGGGGAGAGAGCCCTGTGGAGACAGGACGGCTCTGCCCTGGGGCACCTGGGCAGATTTCAAGGGCCATCCGTCCAGTGAATTACCTTTGCTTCATTATCCACAAAATGCATATTAAAGTTAACACATCTCAATATGCTAACGAGGGCTGTCATAATCATGCTAATTACATCATCCCATGAAACACCTTAGCCCTCCCCGTACATTGGATACGTAGGCCTGTGGGTCGACCTAGGGGATGGATCCAAGGAAAGTGGGTATAAATCAAAGGGGAGAAGAAAGGGCTCTCTCTCTCCCTGCCTCCCTGGCCATCTGGAGAGAGCAGTGAAGCAAAGAAGACGGATGCCAGCGAAAAAGACGGCCGCCTCCTGGAACCCTCGCTGGTGGGATCAGCGCAGGAACCCAGACCGGTGATCTGTATTTCCCCATTTCCTCTATCTCCCTCTTTTCCTTTTTCTATTAAGAAATGAAAGGCATATTACATTGCTCGCCACAGCTTGCTCTGTACTTAACCAATTATCATGTGTTCAATTAGTACATTGTAGGTAGTTAATAAATGCTTGAACTTGGAGACTTGTTGTCTGCTTCAATTGGGGATTTGCAAATCCGAGTCACTTGTCCCCCTCGTCTGAACAGGACATGACATTTTGGTGCAGGGCCTGAAATGAGTTGATTAGCTGTTGATCACACAGTCTGGAAGATATCAGTCTGGACATGGTGATCAGAAGCAGCTCAGAAAGGCTCTTCTGGTATGGAGCAGTATGAAGAGGGCAACAGTTGAAGCAGCTTCAGCTGCTGTCAGTCAAAGCTCTACTTTTTGTAACCTTGTGATAGAACAAAGATAATGCATAGGGTCCTTATTATAGAAGGAATGATGGGTTGTGGACGTTTGCAGAGAGCAGATAAATGACATGCTGGATGGCATGGCTATGATTGCTCACTGGGTTTGATTGTGTCCCACCCAGTGGTTCCCTTGCACGGTGGATACTGATGGGGTGCTACAGGCTAGAATGTCCTCAGAGACAACCTTGAAGAGCCAGAGGTTGGCATGATAGGTACAGCTGCCAGACCCTTTTCACATATCTGAAGTAATGCTTTTCTCACAGCACTCATCTTTGCAGTTCCCTGAAAAGAAGCTCTTTGGAAAAGACTACATTTTAGATGAGCTGCTGGAAGAAAAAAATGCATTTTTCTCAGCTTGAAAAGGGCCTGTGTTTTCAACATCTGCCTACTCTTGGTTCTCTGTGATGCCAGTAGCTGTGTACCCTGACCTTCAACCTTTTGTTGGGGGGCAACCACAAGTGTCCTTCAAAAATAACCGCCAGTGGGCTCATGCACATCCTGCCAAGTGTCTTCAGTAAAGGACACCTGTGCCTTTGGCACTGGTCTGGCTTTTTAGGGGAACTCACCTCCTTTGATTCTATCCCTTGGTCTCTGGTTGTAGAGAGAAGTTGTGAACCAGGGGAACTATGATGGCCACGGGGAGATGCTGCCAGGGACACCAGGAATGCTGGGGCTAGAGGCGGTAGCTACGGTTTCTTATACTGGGAGGAGAGCCTGAGCATTCCTCACCGTCGGGACCTTCACAGAGGTGAACACAGGGCTAGTTCGCTTGCCCCAGCCGTCGGATTTCACAGCATTACAGGAAAATCCATGACTCAGAAGAACAAAGTTCTGTTTCCTACCCATCCTGCTGGAGGATTCCAGGATCCTGAGAAGAATGAGGCGTCCCCTGGGAACGGGAGAAGATGGCTGGTGTTGGTGGCCGCAGAAGGCACAGCCTCAGCCACCCTTGCCCACTCGGGCACCAGCTCGGTGAGCCATGGGGCAGCCACGGAGGGTCTGGGGAGGGGTAGGAGTAGCGCGGGAGCTGGGGGAGGACAGGCCTGGCCGTGGGGCAGCCCTCGCCCTGCTCTTATTCTGAAAGGACTCTCCGTGCAGCCGCCAACCCATCGCCCTCCCCGCCCCGGCCTCCCTTGTCCGCCTCCTCTCCCCACCAGCCCGGCCCTGACATGACCCCCGGGCACGGGAGGTCCCGGTCCACCCCATCTCATCCCGTCCCAGCCCGCCGCCGGGCGACAGGCCAGGCAAAATAAAAACCACACTGCTACAGGCTCGGGTGGGGCTTGGCTCCCTCAGGTCTTGTTTCTTTTTCAATCGGGACAGTTTACACTCAGGAGTGGGGGTCCTGGCATCCATCCCACGGAGCACTCACTTCACTTTCTGGAAAACCTGGACACAGACCTCATCTTCAGCAGTCATGCGCTGGGAAAAGGAGGGGCGAAAGAAGAGGTTAGGCTGGATCCCTGCTTGCCCTCCCGGTGCTGGCTGGAGTCATGGCCCCATGCTGCTGTCCCTTCCTGACCCTCCCAAAGGCCCAGCGGGTCAGGGAAGGGCCAGTGCCTTTGCTGAGCTGTGTTAACTTTTAAACCCTGGAGATGGATGTTTGTGTGAAGTGGCGGCTGCCCCTGAGGAGCCAGGGCTGAAGTCTGAGAGGAGCTGGAAGGAAGCTGCACAGCTGGCTCAGAGCCCGCAGCGCCTGTACTGGGTGTCCCCCCCCCTCCCAGCTCACTGTAACTGAGATTGAGCACGCTGCGCCAGACCCCTCCTCACCAGATGCAGCTGGTCCCCCTCCAGCCAGTGCCTCCAGCCTCGGTTCCTCTTCTCTCCTAGCTGCTCACACACCAGCTGATCCCCCTCCCAGGAGACGGTTGTCTGAAAAGAAAGGAGGAGAGGGGAAGACATGGTCCCAAGACAAGAGGGTGCTGGCAGTACAGTTTTCCAGCGATTACACTGTTCCTCTCGGACACATTTCACCATGATCTGGTGTCTCTGGTGCCTCATTAGGACCAATGCTCTTTATGGGAGGTGAATGACCCTCTGGCTTCCAAGTGCTACTGCAAAGTGGGCTGACATTCTGTCTTTTCAGGGCTTTGCTCCAGAGGATATCGCGCTAGGTCCCAAAGCACTGGGTTTCTGACTGTTTGGTGCTCATACCCTTTGCTGTGAGTAATTTACTCATAGAACCACTTACTCCTGGACCTGCTGGGGCATGCCAGCTCCGGGGCTGGGCTCTTACGTGGCTCATGAAACAAAAGCTAAGCAAGTCCCTGAACTTCTAGTGTAGCCCCGTCCGATGACAAACTGCACTGTTTGGGCTTCTCACCCGGCACGTGCGTCCATCCACGGGTCCCAGGTCTTCCTCAAACTGGACTCCCAGGTCAAAATCCATAACGTAGTCCCGCAGGGACGTGATGGTGCGGATGACCATGTGGTCTCCTGTGTGGATGATCTCTTTATCGGGCTTCAGGAGGCACACCAGTTTTCGCAGGACCACGTTGATATCTGGAGAATGAGAGGGAGGGGAGATATGTGGACGACCTGGACACCCCCTCTAGCAGCATCTCCACGGAGCTTCTCCACTTTTGGCCAGGGAGCCCCAGCCGTGATACCTCCTCCCCCCTTCCACCACAGCGCAAAAGTGATGGGCCCAGACAAAAGGACCAAGGGAGTCCCAAACGCCTTCTTCCCCTTCCCGACTTCCGATATTTTTGGAGACAGGAAGGACCGAAAGGGGAGGAAGGAGCGGATTGAGGGAGTTACCTAAAGCGCGCAGGTAATTGTCCATGTTCTCCTGGGAGACGAAGCGGTAATAGCCGGTGAGGTTGGGAGGCATCCCGGGGCGGAGGGACGGGGCCAGCTGCGCGGAGGAGAGTGGGCAAAGAGCGGGAGAGGCGCGGAGCGGGGTCCCAGCGCGCTCGCCTGTCGGGCCGGTGCCTCCCCCGCGGTGGGTGGAGGTCTGGGGGGCAGCCCGGCTCCCGGACTACTCGCCGCAATAAGAGTCTCCGCGTCGGGGGGCGCGGAAAAGGCAGGGCCTGCCCCCGCTTCCAGCGTCTCCACCGCGGCTCGGAGCGGCGGGGCGTGAGAACAGCAGGGCACCTCCTCACCCTCCACCCTCTGCGGGGGCTGCTTGGGTTCAACTCTCGGCGGCCGACCAGCGCCATCACGCCCCCCCACCCCACCGGCCCTTTCTCACACCATGAGGCCGACGGCTGCGAGCTTCTTCACAGCGATGTCTCGGCCCGGCCAAGCCGTCGAGGAGAGACGGCAGCGGGCTCCGGAAGCGAGCCCCCAGCCCCCCCATCCGCTCCCGCGTCCCCCAGCGCCTGCCAGGACGCTTCCAGGGTTTTGAAGCCCCCCGCAAAGGCCAGGGCAGGCCCCACCGCACGCACACACGCCCCACCGCACACACGCCATACCGCACACACGCGCGCG